TCGGTCACCTCAAAGAGCCGGCTGCAGCAGACCAGGCGTCGGTGGGGCACCGACAGCACCTGGAACCCCCATACACGCCATTCAGTGAGCGGACCCCAGAGGCCCCGGCTCTCCCCGCCCCATGGCACTCGCTTCCAGAAGAGGAGACAGACGGAACAGGGGCTCAGAGGTCCTGAGTGTGATCCCAAACCTCCCCCTCCTCATCCACCCTCCCCATCATCACACTTCTTGGGGAGCTGGGGAGAAGGGGTTCATCTCACTGGAACAAATGAGAGGAGAGAAGAGCTGGGGGAAGGAAACTGACAAGAGTTTCCAGACACATGACCAAGCCTTTCCCCTCTAACACCTGTAAGTATGGCACCCTCCCTTCCCCACCCCAGCCTCTTTCTCTACCGCACATCCAAAGGCAAATGTGCAAGGGGAGGGGTCTGGAAGGTTATAGAACCGTGTCCCCACCCACTCCCAAATATTTGTTGGAGTCTTAACCCCAGGGCTGTAAACGTGACCTTGTTTTGAAATCAGGCCTAGAGAGATATGATCTGTTAACCTGAGGTCATAGCTGAGGAGGGTGGGTCTATTCCAATGGGAGCAGTGTCCTTAAAAAAGGGAAGAGACAGGTGGCAGGGCCATGTGAAGACAGAGACAGATGGGGGTTTAACTGCAGCTAAAGCCAGAAATGCCTGGGGCTCTCAGCAGCCCCGAGACACCAAGAACCTTCCCCAAGAGGCTCAGGGCGCCCATGCCCCAAACACAGACCCACTGCCATTGCGTGGGTTTCAGTTCTTAGTGACCCTGGGTGGGTCTCCCCAGGAGCAGACAGCCTTCTCAGGCGCCCTCGGAATGGCCCCGATCCTTTCAGAGTCTGCGTGGCCCTGAATTTGGAGGCTAGCCTCCCAAAGGGTGAGAGATTAAATCCCTGGGGCTTAAAGCCACCCACTTGATGGCACTCTGTTGTGGCCTCGCCAGGAACCCAACACACAGGGATACTTTGAATCACTGCCAGTTGTAAAGCAAGACAATTGTTGGCAAACCAGTCAAGCCAAGCCCTCGGGGATACAGGGTCTGAAGCAGAAAGGGCCACCCCTGCACAGACACGGTGGACCGAGCCAGCTCCTCAGGGAGGGGGCCCTAGGATGAGTCTCAGAGTACCCATCTCCTGAACTGGAGCCAAAGCAGTTGTTGAGTAGAGCCGCCCCCTCCCCCAACTCATGGAGACCCCGTGTGTGTCAGAGTAGAACTGTGCCCCATAGGATTTTCCATGGAGGATTCTTCAAAAGTCGGTAACCAGGCTTCTTTTCTTGGGTACTGCCGGGTGACCTTGCCCTCTGACCCTCCTGTGAGCAGCCGAGTGCTGCGTTAACCACCTGCACCCCTCAGGGCCTGTGCCACATCCTGTCTGCTCATGGAATGAAGAGCCTCAGCCAACATACACATGGTGAAAATCCTCCTTTCTTTTTTATTTCATTTATTTATTTTCTGAGAAGCCTCCTTTCCAAAACCATTGCCACTTCAGAACAGACTGCTTGTGGCCCAGGTCATGAGTCCCTTGGCCCCTGGTGGGCTGAGACACCACTGCCTGGAGCCTCTAAGGCAGCCCACTCCCTGCCTTTATTTCACTAGCAGCCATCCCACTCTGGGAAAGCGTCTGTATCACACGGTCATCCAGACCACTGGGAGGTCTTTCTTGGCCTCTCACCTCTTGACCTCTCCTCCTTCGGTAGCTGCTAGCGAGAGGCAGTGAGGGATCAGACAAGGGGAGAAAGGGGATGCCTTGGATTGGCTCCAGACCACCGTCGTACAGCCAATGTCATCATCACATGAGCCATAGGGATTGTTAGTTTGTCTGTTTCCCAGTACGTATAAAAGATGTACACTATATGGTGGCTATCCAGGGCATAATAGCATTTTTTTTAAAGTTTGAAATATTTTGGGAATTACCAAGATGCAACACAGAGACATGAAACGGGCACACGTGGTTGGAAAAAAAATGGTGCCCAAAGACTCGCTCGACGCAGGGCGGCTACAGCCCTTCAATGTGCAAAACACCTAGTGTCGGCGCCACTCAATGAAACAAGGTGTGCCTGTAAGTGCTCGATAGTTTTTTTAAGGGGACAAATGAAAAGAAGGGGTTTTTCGAAAGGGAAGGGGGAGAAGGGGAGGAGTTTCCAGGGAGAAAGAAACAAGGGAGTGGAGGTGGCTTGGTAGCCAGGGGAGAGGCAGCTGACCTCCCGGGTGGCGAGTGTTGCTGTGGAGGGACAACTTACTGTCTTCATGCCCACGATGGACTTCTCCACCTTGGTGACATACGTGACATGGTCCTCATTGGACTTGAGCTCCTTCTGTTGGATCCTTTCATAGATGCCCACCACCAGCTCCCTGGGGATGTCAACGCCATCATCCACACCTAGCAATGTGAAGGGGGCTTGGGTAGATGGAAACCAGAGAAAGGGATCTCCACACCAGTCATAGGCTCCTAGCGGGGGACCGTGACTTTGCCACATCCTGGTCCCAAAGCCTTCATTGGCTGCGGCCCATGCCCATTAAACTAAGAACAAATTCCTTTGCTCAACTGCAAGACCGTACAGTGTGATCCCCATGCACACCTCCAGCTTCACCTGCTGTTCCACACAGAAAGAACCCTCTAGCTCACTTTTCAGGATACCTTCTTGGTTATGTCCAGCCTCCATGTTCCTGCTCAGTGTCGGCTTCTGCAGCTCTGTCTCCCTGAAAGGTCATCTGGGCCAATTTTAGTAAACCACCCTCTTTGTGAGCACCGTGAAGGCAGAGGTTAGATTGGATATTTCTTCTTTTAGATCTTCCCCTCCCAGGCCCTCACCCCACCTCAGTGAGTAGTTGCTGAGTGAGTAACAAGGTTCTCCCCTGGCTGTCAGTGGGAAGTTAGACATTAAGTGAGGAGGCAGGGTAACACAGGCAATGAGGGTCTCTACCTTATCTCCTACTTCCAACTCATGCCCAAACACTAATAACAACAAAAATACTAACAGAAAATAGACCAACATGAAAATAATTTATTTTGGAAGTGGAGAGGGCCAATTATAAAATATTATCTTACCTTTCTTATTCTTTTTTCAATAATTCTTATTTCTTTTACAAAAGTGAAACTTTTTTTTGAAAAATAAAACGTTGACAAGTGTTCTCAAAGGAGTTCCCCAACTACTGTGAGGATATCATGTCTTCTATCAGCAACTCCCTGTCTAGTCCCTGCTCCTTCCTCATCTGATCTTGTTTTTAAAATTTGAACAGATGAGCCATGCAGTACCTTTGGGGGCCTGCAAGAAATCTGGCTGAGGGCAAGAAAGAACATGGATAAAGACAACACACAGAGGCTTTCAATTAAAGAAGGTCGCTGGAATACTCTGGCTCCCACTGAATACTCCAATAATAAGGAATTTTTTCCCTAAAAGTATAAGCCTACAAGGACAAAGAGAATAGAAGAGGCAAAGCCACCACAAGACCTAGATAGTCGATGGAAGAATGGTGGGATTAGGAAGCCTGAGAAAGCTGAAACCCAACCCAGCAGAGAAGTTAGAAGCCACCCAACACACCACAGAACCAATCGCCAAAGGACTTTGGAATTAGTGGCAGTAGCAATCCCAGAAAGTTGAGGTAAAGGTGGGCTATAAACAGGAAAGTAGGTGGAAAGTAAGGTTAAAAAGCATGTAGACTTCCCCATACCCTCCACTCCTGTAAAGAAACTCACTGCCATTGAGTTAAGGCTGACTCATAGAGATGCCCTGTGGGATTCCGAGACTGTAACTGTTTACAGGAGTAAACACCCCTGTCTTTCTCCTGCAGAGCTACTCGTGGTTTCAAACTGCTGACCATGAGGATCACAGCTCAACTTGTAACCACTATTCCACCAGGGGTCCTATAGAAGACTAGATGATAATCCTCTGGGAGGGGTGAGCCAGAAATTCTGGGCTGGGAGACTCCAAGCAAAGCCAAGGATAGGCATTCGTAGGAGATAAAACTGACATCAAAATACTGAAAGGATCCTCAATCCTATTTCCCACAAAGATCTCAGAGAGCTAGCAGCCAGACTTGCAGCATTTGGGCAAGAGCAAACATTTCTTTTGGGAGGAATCAACACACACAAGAAAAAAACATTTAAAGCTATTGTAGTAGTAGGCCACCCCTCCTCCCAGTAAGAGGTAAGAGAAACCATTCTGCCAGAAAGCCTACCAATCAGCAACCCCCATTCCATACACACAGCATTTTAGATCAGTGGCTTGCCGTAAATATGAATGATCAATCGAATACCCAAGAAGACAGAAAAAAGAACTTGAGAGAAATAGAGCCAAATAGGAAGGAGAAAGCCAAGCCAAACACAAAAATAGAAACATCCTTAATATCTTCACAGAGGTATGAAAAAGCATTGCATCAATGAAACTACACAAATGTTATAGAAGAGAAACATCGGGGAACAAAAAAGAACTCTTGAATATGAAAATATGGTAGTAGAAATTAAAAACTTAGAAGAAGTTTTTTAAAAATAAAGCCGAGGGATATTTCCAGAAAACCAGAGAAGACGAAAGATGGCATCTAGAAACCGATGACAATTAGAGGATCAAACAAAGAGATCCAACATCTGAATGATAGGAAGGTCAGAAAGCGAGTACAGAGAAATGGAGGGTTAAAAGCAGCCAGATCCAATCGTTTAGAAGACATCCCACCAGAGGAGCACATGTTTCTACACTGAAAGGACCGACACAGCAGCACCAAGTACAATGGTTTAAAAAAGACGGCTCGCAGGCGCAGCATCACCAAACTTCAGGGCACCAAAGACAACCAGAAGAACCAAAACGTCTTCAGAGCAGAAGAAACCAACCGTAATGTGCAAACGGGTAGGGACTGGAACGCCGGAGCAGAATTGTCCGCTGGAAGATGACAGAGGAATGCCTTCAAAATTCCGAGTGAAACTATTGCTAATCTGAAATTCTATTCCCAACCAACTCCCAAACGAGAGTCAGGGCCGAACAAATATTCAGACATTCAAGTTCTCACCCAAAAAGTTTACGATGTAATTTTCTCTAGAAGTAAACTAAAACTGAGGAGGCTCTGCAACCCAGGACACCAGAACCCAACACAAGAGAAAGGTGAAGGAGACTCCAGGGTGATGGTGGGGAGAGAGCCCAGGGGGGACAGCGGTGCTGCTGGGCTAGCAACGTTTGACCAGATCGGAGCAGAGCTAGAGGCTCCAGGAGAGACAGCTCCAAGAAACTCAGGGTGCCTCTGGGGTTGAAATGTACTGGGAAGGGCACATAGGCATGGAGTTTGAGGCAAGGTTCTGGCAGGGTCATGGAGACATGAGCAAAGAGAAGAGGGCGTGATCATCATTACATCCTTGAAGAACCCACATTGGGTGTATGTAGTCTTGGTGATACAGCTTTGCTTCCGGTTAGGTGGTGCAAGATGCCAAACCCAACACAATGCTGCTGTGTCCATTTCCACTCCTAACGACCCTATAGAACTGTTCCATAGGGTTTGCAAGGCTCTCATCTTTATGGAAACCGACATAGAGTGGCTGGTGGGTTTGAACCACAGATTTTTCAGTTAGTAGTCGAATGCTTAACCAAGTGTGCCACCCCTTCCGTGAGCTATATTGTTTAGAAAAACAAAAACAAAAAAACTAGGATGGTGGATGTCATAATGTTATCTACCAGGGTGACTTATAGACCCAGGCCCTCAAAGTCCTATCGTGGCTCTCCCCTCGTCAGCCATGGAGTGGGAAGGGCTGGTACCATGCAAGCACCAACCGGAGTGCCAGGGTCTGGAGGTCGATGTTCTGGGGAAGGCAAGGAGACATTGCCCAACGGCTCTTGATGCTTTGGCCGGGGCAGTGACAGCGGCTCCTGGAAGCGCCTCCAGAGACATGGCACAGAGTGGCTTTCCCAGGGCCCGAGAGAAGCATGCCTTGTGCCCTCGGCCACTCAGGCAACAATCGGGGCCCAGGCTCACTGTCTCTGCCCCCTTGGGAGTAACACCTAGCGGACCGTGGCTGGAACAATGGCCTCCCCCTTCCTCCCCTGCCCCCACCTCCTTACCGCGCAGGTTTCGGATAAAGTCCTCCAGCATCATCTTCCGGTCAGGCTTAATGTTGGGGCTGTACATGTCAGTGTTGAGGAGGATGATGGCAAAGGCGAGGATGAAGATGGTGTCCGGGTTGTGGAACTGCTGCACCACCTCAGGGTTGCACATGCAGTAGCGCTGGCTGTGGCGGGGAGACAAGAACATGACGCTGAGACCCCTCCCTCTGCCTCCCTGAGTGGCAGCACTGTGGAAGGGATGGGGGTGGAGGGGCTGTTCCAATCTGTCCATTGTGGCCTGGGCCCGGCCCTCTTCTCCATAGCAGGGGCAAGACTGGTTTCACACCCCTCCACACGCCCGCCCGGGGAGTGCAGAGCGCCTGCACTGAGAAGGCGCTCAGTTGGAGCTGCAGGTGGGCAAGGGCGGACGTGTTCTCTGAAATTGCAGGTATTTTACCCTGAAGCAGGGCAGCCAATTGACCCACCCAGGTCAGAAGCAAGAGGAGTTTGATTGAGAAGCTATACCAGGGAGGAGACCATAGCAGTGAAAAACAGTGTTTTCATGGTGTCCTGTTGGAAATCAGAACACATAGAGAATATATATATACCTTGGCTGGAGACACGTACAAATGCTTTCCCTAACTCAGCTTTCAGGGCAACGATAAGAAACAGCTGTGAGGGCAAAAAGAGGAGCGGATACAAGGCCTTGATAGAAAGTAAATGTCTTGAAAAGAATGATGGCAACATATGTACAAATATGCTTGCGACCATTGATGTATATGGAGTGTTTTAAGAGTTGTAAGAGCCCCCAGTAAAATGACCTTTTAATAAAGAAGATGAAGAAGAGGAGGAAGAAGAAGTAGAAACAGCTGTGGATCAGGAGCAGGCTAACAGGAGGGTAAAGATTCATTCAGGCAGACCAGTCTCAGGATGGTTTGGTGACTAACTAGGTAGCAGGGCTATCTTTTCATCACCAAGTCAGGCAACTAAGAGAAGACACTCAGCCCTTCGGGAACATCCAACCCATCTGCTTTTGAGCAACATAGCAAGTTAGGAAAATGCCATAGAGGCTGCATTAAAGAAAGGCTACCTTAGGCTAAGTGCATCTTGTAAGGGGGCTTTTTCTAACTACATTAAGTAAAATAACCTGAGTTACAGACGGGTAAAGTGCAGGCCAGCCTGGGGGCCTCATCTTGGGTGGTCTACAGTCAGAGAGCTCAGGGGGCTTTTTGTTTGCTTTCTCTTCTTTTTCTGGAGCCCACCCCTGCTGCCTACACCTCCACCCCCCACCCCCCCGGCAGACCCTCGGGTGTCTCCGCACCCCCCAGGTGCACACCAGCCCTGGGCCGCAGGCCCGTGTGGGGTCTGTGAGTGGGGCGTCCTACCTGAAGGCCTCAATGAGCCGCTCCACCTTCTGGGCCTCGCCCTGCACTCGGATGTGCGCCTGGAACTTCCGCAGGGCCTGGTCGAGCTCCATGCCGGAGAAGTCCATCTCGTCCACCACGCAGCTGCGGCAGGCGGAGGGCAGCGTGAGAAGCGTCCCTCCACCTCAAGGTGCCCACACTTCCTGGGCTGCCTCCCGCCCACAGGGGTCTCCCTTCAGGCACCTCAGAGAGAGCTTTCTCGGGTCTTCTCTTACCTCATACAATCTCCCTTTCACAGCTTAAAACAGAGGCCGCAGAGCGAGAGCTGTGCTTCTCACCCAAATCCTCACCCGCAGCGTAGCCCCGAGTCTAACACACGTTCCTTTCTTGCGTAAGTACCGTCTACTCTTCTGTTTTCTCAAAGACCTGGATTTCTCCCTCATTTAAAACTCTCCATTTCCCAGTCCGGCTTCTAGGTGCCATCTCTACCTGCATGTTCCCCTCCCTCTGCCCC